AGATTAAGAAGAACAAAGGAGAGGAAATTGTGGAGAGCCATGATCACCAATGTCCTGAAGAAGAAAAAGAGCACATAGAAGAAGAAGAATGAGTTTGAGTAAATGGATGAAGGACCAAGGTTTAGGAGAGAAAAAAAAAAAAAAAATTTAAGAAGAGAAGAAAAGGAGAGAAAATTGAAGAGAGAATGATCACCAATCCTCCTGAAGAAGAAGAAGAAGAAGAAGAAGAAGAATGAGTTTGAGAAATGGATGAAGGACCAAGGTTTAGAAGAGAGAAGAAAAAGAAAAAGAAAAAATTTAAGAAGAGCTACAAAGGAGAGGAAATTGAAGAAGAAGAAATGATCACCAATGTCCTGAAGTTTCACAGAACAAGAAGAAGAAGAAAGAAGAAGAAATGGATGACGGACCAAGGTTTAGGAGAGAAGAAGAAAAGACAAAATTTATTAAGAGCTAAGGAAGAGGAGGGAAATTGGAGAGAGAAGAAGAAAGAAATGTCCTGAAGTTTCAGAAGAAGAAGAAGAAGAATGAAGAAGAAATGGATGACGGACCAAGGTTTAGGAGAGATAAAAAAAGAAAAATTTATTAAGAAGAAGAAAGGAGAGGAAATTGAAGAGAAGAAGAATCAAGAATGTCCTGAAGAAGAACAGAAGAAGAAGAAGAAAAGAGAATGAGTTTGAAGTAAATGGATGACGGACCAAGGTTTAGAAGAAGAAGAAAAGAAGAAAAATTTATTAAGAGCTACAAAGGAGAGGAAATTGAAGGAGAGCCATGATCACCAATGTCCTGAAAGTTTCAAGAAGAAGAAGAAGAAGAAGAAGAATGAGTTTGAGTAAATGGATGAAGGACCAAGGTTTAGGAGAGAAAAAAAAAAAGAAAAATTTAAGAAGAGCTACAAAAGAAAAAAAAATTGGAAGAGCCATGATCACCAAAAGAAGAAGAAGAAGAAGAAGAAGAAGAAGAAGAATGAGTTTGAAGAAATGGATGACGGACCAAGGTTTAGGAGAGAAGAAGAAAAGAAGAAATTTATTAAGAGCTACAAAGGAGAGGAAAATGTGGAGAGCCATGACAGCCAATGTCCTGAAGAAGAAGAAGAAGAAGAAGAAGAAGAAGAAGAATGAAGAAGAAGAAAATGGATGACGGACCAAGGTTTAGGAGAGATAAGAAAAAAGAAAAAATTTATTAAGAGCTACAAAGGAGAGGAAAAAAGAAGAGAGCAGATCACCAATGTCCTGAAGTTTCACAGCACAAGAAGAAGAAGAATGAGTTTGAGAAAAGGATGACGGACCAAGGTTTAGGAGAGAGAAAAAAAAAGAAAAATTTATTAAGAGCTAAAAGGAAAAAAGAAAGAGAAGAAAGAAGAAGAAGAAGAAAAGATCACCAATGTCCTGAAGTTTCAAGAAGACATAGAAGAAGAAGAATGAAGTTTGAGAAGAATGGATGACGGACCAAGGTTTAGGAGAGATAAGAAAAAAAGACAAAATTTATTAAGAGCTACAAAAGGAGAGAAGAAAAGAAGAGAAGAATGATCAAGAATGTCCTGAAGTTTCACAAGCACATAGAAGAAGAAAGAATGAGTTTGAGTAAATGGATGACGGACCAAGGTTTAGGAGAGATAAGAAAAAGACAAAATTTATTAAGAGCTACAAAGGAGAGGAAATTGTGGAGAGCCATGATCACCAATGTCCTGAAGTTTCACAGCAGAATAGAAGAAGAAGAATGAGTTTGAGTAAATGGATGACGGACCAAGGTTTAGGAGAGATAAGAAAAAAGACAAAATTTATTAAGAGCTACAAAGGAGAGGAAATTGTGGAGAGAGCCATGATCACCAATGTCCTGAAGTTTCACAGAGCACATAGAAGAAGAAGAATGAGTTTGAGTAAATGGATGACGGACCAAGGTTTAGAGAGAGATAAGAAAAAGAAAAAAAAAGAAGAAGAGCTAAAAAGAGAGGAAATTGTGGAGAGCCATGATCACCAATGTCCTGAAGTTTCACAGCACATAGAAGAAGAAGAATGAGTTTGAGAGAAATGGATGACGGACCAAGGTTTAGGAGAGATAAAAAAAGACAAAATTTATTAAGAGCTACAAAGGAGGAAATTGTGGAGAGCTATGATCACCAATGTCCTGAAGTTTCACAGCACATAGAAGAAGAAGAAGAAGAATTTGAGTTGAATGGATGACGGACCAAGGTTTAGGAGAGAAAAAAAAGACAAAAAGAAGAAGAGCTACAAAGGAGAGGAAAAGTGGAGAGAGATGATCACCAATGTCCTGAAGTTTCACAGCACATAGAAGAAGAAGAATGAGTTTGAGTAAATGGATGACGGACCAAGGTTTAAGAGAGAAGAAGAAAAGAAAAAATTTATTAAGAGCTACAAAGGAGAGGAAATTGTGGAGAGCCATGATCACCAATGTCCTGAAGTTTCAAGAAGAATAGAAGAAGAAGAATGAGTTTGAGTAAATGGATGACGGACCAAGGTTTAGGAGAGATAAAAAAAAGACAAAATTTATTAAGAGCTACAAAGGAGAGGAAATTGTGGAGAGCCATGATCACCAATGTCCTGAAGTTTCACAGCACATAGAAGAAGAAGAATGAGTTTGAGTAAATGGATGACGGACCAAGGTTTAGGAGAGATAAGAAAAAGACAAAATTTATTAAGAGCTACAAAGGAGAGAAGAAATTGTGGAGAGCCATGATCACCAATGTCCTGAAGTTTCACAGCACATAGAAGAAGAAGAATGAATGAGTTTGAGTAAATGGATGACGGACCAAGGTTTAGGAGAGATAAGAAAAAAAACAAAATTTATTAAGAGCTACAAAGGAGAGGAAATTGTGGAGAGCCATGATCACCAATGTCCTGAAGTTTCACAGCACATAGAAGAAGAAGAATGAGTTTGAGTAAATGGATGACGGACCAAGGTTTAGGAGAGATAAGAAAAAGACAAAATTTATTAAGAGCTACAAAGGAGAGGAAATTGTGGAGAGACATGATCGCCAACGTCCTGAAGTTTCACAGCACATAGAAGAAGAAAAATGAGCTTGAGTAAATGGATGACGGAACAAGGTTTAGGAGAGATAAGAAAAAGACAAAATTTATTAAGAGCTACAAAGGAGAGGAAATTGTGGAGAGCCATGATCACCAATGTCCTGAAGTTTCACAGCACATAGAAGAAGAAGAATGAGTTTGAGTAAATGGATGACGGACCAAGGTTTAGGAGAGATAAGAAAAAAGACAAAATTTATTAAGAGCTACAAAGGAGAGGAAATTGTGGAGAGCCATGATCACCAATGTCCTGAAGTTTCACAGCACATAGAAGAAGAAGAATGAGTTTGAGTAAATGGATGACGGACCAAGGTTTAGGAGAGATAAGAAAAAAAGACAAAATTTATTAAGAGCTACAAAGGAGAGGAAATTGTGGAGAGCCATGATCACCAATGTCCTGAAGTTTCAGAGCACATAGAAGAAGAAGAATGAGTTTGAGTAAATGGATGACGGACCAAGGTTTAGGAGAGAGAAAGAAAAAGACAAAATTTATTAAGAGCTACAAAGGAGAGGAAATTGTGGAGAGCCATGATCACCAATGTCCTGAAGTTTCACAGCACATAGAAAGAAGAAGAATGAGTTTGAGTAAATGGATGACGGACCAAGGTTTAGGAGAGATAAGAAAAAGACAAAATTTATTAAGAGCTACAAAGGAGAGGAAATTGTGGAGAGCCATGATCACCAATGTCCTGAAGTTTCACAGCACATAGAAGAAGAAGAATGAGTTTGAGTAAATGGATGACGGACCAAGGTTTAGGAGAGATAAGAAAAAGACAAAATTTATTAAGAGCTACAAAGGAGAGGAAATTGTGGAGAGCCATGATCACCAATGTCCTGAAGTTTCACAGCACATAGAAGAAGAAGAATGAGTTTGAGTAAATGGATGACGGACCAAGGTTTAGGAGAGATAAGAAAAAAGACAAAATTTATTAAGAGCTACAAAGGAGAGGAAATTGTGGAGAGCCATGATCACCAATGTCCTGAAGTTTCACAGCACATAGAAGAAGAAGAAATGAGTTTGAGTAAATGGATGACGGACCAAGGTTTAGGAGAGAAGAAAAAGACAAAATTTATTAAGAGCTACAAAGGAGAGGAAATTGTGGAGAGCCATGATCACCAATGTCCTGAAGTTTCACAGCACATAGAAGAAGAAGAATGAGTTTGAGTAAATGGATGACGGACCAAGGTTTAGGAGAGATAAGAAAAAGACAAAATTTATTAAGAGCTACAAAGGAGAGGAAATTGTGGAGAGCCATGATCACCAATGTCCTGAAGTTTCACAGCACATAGAAGAGAAAGAATGAGTTTGAGTAAATGGATGACGGACCAAGGTTTAGGAGAGATAACAAAAAGACAAAATTTATTAAGAGCTACAAAAGAGAGAGAAATTGTGGAGAGAGCCATGATCACCAATGTCCTGAAGTTTAAGCATATCCATAAAAGAAGAATGAGTTTGATTAAATGGATGACAGGACCAAGGTTTAGGAGAGAGATAAAAAAAGACAAAATTTATTAAGAGCTACAAAGGAGAGGAAATTGTGGAGAGCATGATCACCAATGTCCTGAAGTTTCATCACATAAAAGAAGAAGAATGAGTTTGATTAAATGGATGACAGTTACCAAGGTTTAGGAGAGATAAAGAAAGACAAAATTTATTAAGAGCTACAAAGGAGAGGAAATTGTTTCATCCGGGATCAATCATTTAACTTGTCGTTTTAGTGTTGTTGATTTAAATTTTAAATTTTAGAATGCGAAGAAATTGAGTTTGGGGGATTAAAAACAACAATTTATTCAAAACGTCACAATGAAAGAGTCAATGTGAAATCGTTAAGAATCTTCGAATGACAAGGAACGGTGTCCAAAAATCCTGCCAGTCTTGGAAAGCATTTTTTTATTAGAAAGACTTGTAAACATTGGAAATTAGAACCAAAAAACAGATGAAAGAAAATTAAAAGAAAATTAAAGAAAATTAAAGAAAGAAAGTAAGAAAGAAAGAAAGAAAGGTAGAAAAAAGAAAAAAAAAGAAAGAAAGATAGAAAGAAAGAAAGAAAGAAAGAAAGGTAGAAAGAAAGAAAGAAAGAAAGAAAGAAAGAAAAAAAGAAAGAAAGAAAGAAAAAGAAAGGTAGTAAGAAAGGTAGACGTATTTAACACATCTTGCCAGCACTTCTTAGATAATGGACTATTCAGTTTTGATCGCGTGAAAAGAGGTGGAAATTCCACTATATGGTTTGGGTAAGAAAATGAAAGGAAGGAAGGAAGGAAGGAAGGAAGGAAGGAAGGAAGAATAGAAAGAATAAAGAATGAAAGAATAAAGAATGAAAGAAAAAAGAAAAAAAAAAAAAAAGAAAGAAGGAATGAAAGAAAAGAAAGAAAAGAAAAGAAAGAAAAAAAAAAAAGAAAAAAAAATAAAAGAAAGGAAAAGAAAGAAAGAAGCGTAAAACGGCTGTTTTTCTTAATTTCAATTTTTTTCATTTGTACCCACTTCTTAAAATAACGTCCAGCCATCATTTTTATGTTTGCTATTGCAATATTTTATTAAAGTTATTAGGCTTCAATATTTAACGTTGCGATACGAAGAAGTTATCGTCTTAGAAATCGCCATGAATATTATTAAGATAGAAAAATCGTGAAATTTTCACCGGTTAAAACTAGTGTAAATAAATTTACTGAAAGTTTTGTTTTTCTTCCATTAATTATATCAGTTAATTCTGTCTCCCTTCTGATGGCTCATAAATTTGGCAGGCCTTATTTTCATTATCACAATGTTTTCTCTTCTTGATTGAATGCGAATGTGACAGTATGCATTAAAGTTCTGCAAGGCAATAAAACAACTAAGACGCAAGAGGTAATCGACAGAGGTTTAGTTTGCTTTGGTTTCTTTTACGGCATATCAACCTCAATGGCTTATTTAATGTTGACAAAATTTTTATTGTTGGTAATATTTTTTTTTAAATTTATTGCAGGCAAAAAATTTTCCCAAAAAAAGTATTGCTGGTATTAAAATATATTTTTAGACTTTCATAGTTTTTTGACCCCTCTTGGACCCTAACAGGTGCTACCACCCTAAAACAGGGTGGACTTGGGAAGTCCAGCAATTAACAACTCCTCAAAACCTCCTGATCAAAGGCCTTGCTGTTGAACGTAGTTTATCGTCTTACCCAGGATGCGTGCCTAGATGGGTGACCGCTGGGAAATACCAGGTGCTGTAAGATTGGATATGTGTCTGGCCTGAAGTGCTTACGACCATATCACCTTGAAATACCGGTTCCCGTATAATCACCTAAGTTAAGCAAACGTAGAGCCTGACCAGTGCCTAGATGGGTGACCGCTTAAAATTCCAGGTGCTGTAAGATTGATATGTGTCTGGCCTGAAGTGCTTACGACCATATCACCTCGAAATACCGGTTCCCGTAAAATCACCGAAGTTAAGCAACGTAGAACCTGGTCAGTACCTAGATTGGTGACCGCTTGGAAATACCAAGTGCTGTAAGATTGGATATGCGGCTGGTCTGCAGGGATTTCGAAATATTACCTTAAAATGCCGGTCCTCGTGCAATCACCGGAGTTAAACAACGTAGAGCCTGGTTAGTACCTAGATGTGTGACCGCTTGGAAATAACACGTGTACTGGGTCATATTTCATTGGAAAAATGCGAAAAAAGTAAATAATAACGGAATTATTCGTTTTGTTTCAATTAATTTGAAAAAGGGAATGATGTGCGCACATGAATGCCATCATTCGCTTTGAAATGAATGACCCCCACCCTACCTCAGCTTGACCTTTCCGAAGGTGACTGATATGTTGATAAAAATTATCTCTTAGACCCCTTTACCAAAATGGTTGCCCCCAGCCGTTTTCATAGTAATTAATTTTGAGAATGAACATGCTTATAAAGATGCGTAAATTTCAAGTTTGGTTATTCCTTAATTTTCTCTTGGGGATGAAACAGGGCTTGATACTTTAACTCAATTTGATTTTAATAATTATATTGAAGGTTTTCGGCTCTTGTTTTTGAAAACATGAGAACTCTTATGTAGCGAAGGAATCATATTTTTTTTAAAATAATTATAATTTAAGCTCTACTTCTGTATGGAGCACTGTTTTTTTTTCATAAAAGCAAAAAATACTAAAGAAGTCCGGATTATTTACCTAACGTGTTCTTTCCTATTTTCTACATACCTGCACACACACACACACACACACACACACACACACACACACACACACACACACACACACACACACACACAGAGAGACACACACACACATGCACGCACACACAAACACACACACACATGCACACACACACACACGAACGCACGCACGCACACACACACACACACACACACACACACACACACATATATATGGGGGCGTGTGGAGGGGTTTGATACAAAGGGTGTATCTAAATTGTTGCACCTTTTTGATGTCGGTATATCCTGTCTTGGCTGTCCATTTTGCCAGCAACCATGCATTCCGTCTCCTTGCAATTAATGCTTAGTCCTTTCTTCTTGCTTTCCTTCACTCCCTTCTGTAGGAGTTCTTGAAGTTTTCCGTCGTCACATCTGTGATTTGAAATTGTCTCTCCCATTCCATTTCTTCCGAGCTGATAACCTTTACGCGACGAGCAGTCACGAACAGCGCAATGCTGTTTTTTGAATTTAAACGACGTAGAAATACAACTATTCTGGCGTTTTTGAGAAACCTAAGTAGTTTTCCATTTGTTTATTTAACAAACCCATCCTGTTTATAAAGCCTGACGAAACCGCAGAGGTTTGAATTTGAATGTCGCTAAAGTCATTAGCAATTAAAAAAAAAATGATCTGATTATTTTAAAAAGGTGGTTGTTAATAAAGTTATACCGTTTAAAATGACATTTAAATGGCGTCAAAGAAACCTTGGAAAATAGATTTACAAAAAGAAATGGCGTATAAAATGAAATGAAAGTAAACACGTGAAAATGATCGAACAATTATCACGTACCCTCACAACATTTCATCAAGGAAGGGGGGAAGAATTAAAAGCCTGGGTAGGTATTTTTAAAAGTATTGACTAACTCGTTTAATTCGTTTTAAATTTTATCACGGCGTTTTACACACAATTTTTTTGTTCTCATACTTTGTGGGCGACAGTGACGAACAAAAGAAATTTGCCATAGAACCAAAAAAAAAAAAAATCAGTTTGAGTTTTCATTTATTTGTCATGTTCCTTGAGGATGTTGGTGATCATGGCTCTCCACAATTTCCTGTCCTTTGTAGCTCTTAATAAATTTTGTCTTTTCGCTATTTCTTCTAAACATTGTTCCGCCATCCATTTACTAAAGCTCACTAAATAAGCTTTTCTTTGTCCTGCTTGGTTGATTCCTTCCTTCCTTCCTTTCTTTCTTTCTTTCTCACTGAAACCAAGTAGCGTATTTACCCCTCTTTCCGCTCAATTTGCCTTTCAAACGTTGTTCGTTAATTCTCGTATGAATATAACGAACCCGACTTGAATTGAAACTCAGACATCCGATTTCCAACTCCATTACACCAAACGCACATCCAAGCTAACAGCACATGGTATTCCCAAGCGGTCACCCATTTAGGTACTGACCAGGCTCGACGTTGCGTAACTTCGGTGATTGTATGGTAATCGGTATTTCAAGGTGATATGTCCGCAAGCCCTTCAAACCAGCCGCACATCCAATCTTACAGCACTTGGTATTTCCAAGTGGTCACCCATCTAGGCACTGGTCAGGCTCTACGTTGCTTAACTTCGGTGATTTTAAGGGAACCGGTATTTCGAGGTGATATGGTCGTAAGCACTTCAGGCCAGACACATATCAATCTTACAGCACCTGGTATTTCCAAGCGGTCACCCATCTAGGCACTGGTCAGGCTCTACCTTGCTTAACTTCGGTGATTATACGGGAACCGGTATTTCAAGGTGATATATCCATAAGCCCTTCAGACCAGCCGCACATCCAATCTTACAGCACTTGGTATTTCCAAGCGGTCACCCATCTAGGCACTGGTCAGGCTCTACGTTGCTTAACTTCGGTGGTTGTACAGGAATCGGTATTTCAAGCGGACATACATCTAGGTACTTTCCTACCCCAGTCTTTGGTGATCGTACGAAAACCGGCATTTCAACGTGATACGGCCGTAATTAACTGCCATCCAAAGTAGTTTAAAATCGGGCGTAGAATCTCATCTAATCCCACCCGAATGCACCCACCCCGTTTGAAAAATAGATGACACAGTGTTGATAGTAGACACAGAAAGGAAAGTACAAGAACTCCGATAGAACGTAGTGAAGGAAAGCGAGAAGAAAGGACTAAACATCAAAAGTTCGACGCTGTAATCCGAAGGCGCATTGGGAAAAGGAAAGATGCCTTCCAAAGTTTAATTAAAATATTAAGAAACAGGAAAATTTCGTTAGAAAGAAAGAAAAGAGTACTATCACTCCTCCTATATGGCAGTGAATGCTGGAGAATCTCCTCATAGTTAAAGAAGAGACTTGAAGCAACAGAAACAAAGAAAAAAGTACTGAACTGTTACGTAATATCAGTCCTCCTATATGGCAGTGAATGCTGGACAATCTCCTCACAGATGAAGAAGAGACTTGAAGTAACAGAAACAAAGAAAAGAGTACTGATCTGTTACGTAATATCAGTCCTTCTATATGGCAGTGAATGCTGGACAATCTCCTCACAGATGAAGGAGAGACTTGAAGCAACAGAAACAAAGAAAAAGAGTACTGAACTGTTACGTAATATCAATCCTCCTATATGGCAGTGAATGCTGGACAATCTCCTCACAGATGAAGAGACTTGGGCCAAGAGAAATGTCGTTCTACAGAAGGATGCTGATAATACCATGGATGGAAGATGTTATCAATCACGAAGTTCTATACCAATTCGAAACAAAAAGGACACTTATACTTAACATCAAGAATAGACTATTATAATGCCTGGTATACATAACGAGGAAAGAAAGCATGGGAAATTTGATACGCGCGGGGCAAATTGAAAGCAAGAAGGACGCACAGTCTAAATGGTAAGCTTGTGTAGTAAAGATGACAAAAAGACAAAATTTATTCAGAGCTACAAAGGACAGGAAATGGTGGAGAGCCATGATTTCCGAACGCTCCTTTTGGGCCGAGAGGTTAGGCACGTCAGCGTAAATGACGGTTCCGGATAGGATGCAGGTTCGAATCCTGTCAAAGGACGAATATTTTCTATGAAAATTTCTCGGACATTCAGGCCGGTAAATGTTATTTAATACTGTTTATTATAAACAGCATTTACTTAAATACTTGTATCTATAAAAAAGAACGTTAAACATAAAACTGTCTTTAATAAATAAATATATATATATATATATACATGCACACACATCATGGCTTATATATATATATACATGCACACACACACATCATGCCTTTTATAGACAGTGATGCCCGCAATGCAGGTAATATTATGTGTCTATTTT